GCATGTCAATAACCGCCTGTATCTTTTCTAGGTTTGCCTCTATCCCCCTTTGATCAATCAAGAATACGAGAAACTTCCCAGACTCAACACCAAAGACACACTTCTTGGGATTGAGTATGACCCTGTGCCGCCTGAGTGTGCTGAAGGTTTCTCGGAGGTCAGCAAGATGATCCGTCTATAGCTTGCATTTGACTATCATATCGTCAATGTACGCCTCTATGTTCCTTCCGATCTGATTAATGAAGACCGTATTAATCATTCGTGGAAAGTAGCACACGCATTTTTCAAGCCAAACGAAATCACAGTATAGCAGAATAACTCCTGATCAGTGATGAATGCAGTCTTCTCTTGATCTTTCTTCCACAAGGGTATCTGATGAAAGCCTGAGTAGGCATCCATAAAACTCATCAGGACATGTCTGACTATAGAATCGACCAAACTACTGATCTTTGGGACCGGATAACTATCCTTCAGACATGCCTTGTTCAGGTCCGTGTAATCTACACACGTGCGCCAAGTCCCATTCGGCTTCTTGACAAGAACAACATTCGTTACCCAATCTGGGAAGTGACATTGCCGAATGAACCTAGCGTATAATAGTTTTTTGACCTCAACGGTTGCCGCCTGACTTCTCTCCTCGCCGTGATTTCTTTTTTTTTCCTGATAGGCTTCCTTTTTAATTTGGGTCAACGGGGATTTTTTGGACAGCAAGATCCGGCCTGATGTCAGGCATCTTTTTCACTTCAAAGGCAAAAATGTCCTTGAATTCCTTCAGCAAATTGTGCAAGTCTGCCCCAACTTTGCAAAGAAACCGTCCCCACCTTTACAGTTCGTTCCGGACGTGTGTTATCCAGAGCGATGTCAATGTGTTCACTAACCGGCTGGGGCCGAAGTTCATCTGGTCGTTCCCTGGTCATTGATTGTTATTGCTTCTCTTTCTTGACAGTCACCAGGTGGTCGGCCTTTCTCTTCTTGCCGCCTGCTGTTAGGGCAGACTCGGGTTCCTTGACATTGTCAAGGTCTATTGGCTCCGCATCCCGGCCAACGGCCGTGGGCTTGATGTTCGAGAAATAGCACTCTCGAGCCGTCTTCTGATCTCCTTTCAAGGAGCCAACAGAACCATCATCCTTCTCGAATTTCAACAGCATGAGGGAGGGGATAATGAAGGGTAGGGGTGTACATAAACAGGACCGGACCTGAAAACTGACCTGAACCGGACCTGTTGGGACCGGACCTGATCCGGACCTGTAGATTCAGGTCCGGTCCCGGTCCTTAAAATTCAAGGTTTCTGGTTCCGGTCCGGATCAGGTTTAAAACCGGGATTTTTAGGTCCGGACCTGAAACCCGGATTTTATATATATATATATATATATGAATATCCTAACCCTAATACTATTAGCCTCTCATTTTTCCCCTTCTCTTCTTCTTCCTCTCCTCTCAGTCTCTCTTCCGTGTCTCCCTGTTACTCTCTTCCGTCATCTGGTTTCCGACACTACACCGGATCCTTCACCGGTTTCGACACCGAAACGCGCCTCTTGTTTCTCCCCTTCTCTTCTTCTTCCTCTCCTCTCAGTATCTCTCTTCCGTGTCTCCCTGTTCTTTTTCTTCCGTCGTATGGTTTCTGACACCACACTGGATCCCTCACCGATTTTCGACACTGAAACGCGCGGACCTCTGTTGCTCGAAATCTCCAGTAGTCCAGTGAGTCCCGACACCGTTGGTCCAGATCTCCAGTACTCAGATCTCCGTTGCTCCGGAATCCAGGCTCCATTTACTTTTTTTTCGATTTAATTCCAGTTCACAGCGAGCAAAGGAGGAAGAATTTCTGGCGACCACCACCGACACCGCGAAAGACTACCGTCCACCACCACCAACGTAGCCTCTGTAGTGTTAATTTACCCTTTTTCGATTTAATTTCATTTATTAAATTATAAACCCTACGTACTTGGTTTATGTTTGATTTATTATTATTTTCGCTGAGTTTGAAATGTAGATCTAATCTTATTTTTTAATATTTCTAATTATAATTAGTTTTTGATATGATTGTAATTTTAATTTACATTTTTTAGATAATTACGAATTTTTGTATAATTTTAATTTATGCTATGATTGGCTTGATATAATTTCGAATTTTAATTTATAATTAGTTTTTGATATAATTGTAATGCTAATTTATATTGTTATAATGTTATTTTCGCTGAGTTTCATATGTAGAAACTTTGGCTTGAATAAAGAAAAAAAAAAGGAAAAAAATACAAAACAAATCTGTTCGTGTCCAAACTCGGATCGGACCTGATTTTTCAGGTCTGGCCCGAAAATGGACCTGTTTAGGTCTGACCAGAAACCGGACCTGTTGAATCAGGTCCGGTCTCCGGTCTTCAAAATTCACTAATTCAGGTCCCGGTCCAAACAGGTCCGGTCCAGGTCCGATCCGGTCCGGTTTTGGACCGGTGTACACCCCTAATGACGGCCTTAGATTCGTTCAGATTCAGAGGGCCCAAAATGAGATTGTAGGCGGTCAGCTCTTCCACAACCAAGAACCGGACAACCATGTGACGACCCTCTCTCTTCTCTCCCACCCGGATTGGTAGATCGGTGCGGCCGACTAAGTGCACAACTCCACCCCCAAAACCAACTAAGGGGTGAGTGACGTTGTGCAAACTGCTGGTGTATACATCATCTTGGACAGAAATCGCCAGCTGATGATATCCGACGAACTGCCGGTATAGACAAGGAACCGACCAGCCCTTTGGTTAGCCACCTTGCATTCAATGACAATGGGGTCTTCACACGGTCGGCAAACTTCGCCCCGGTCCTTCTCAGAGATGACGACCTCTAGAAAGGTGTCGGCAGACGCCTGGCCTTCATCGACCGAGCTGACATTCATTTGTCTGACATGATCCTTGGTGCCTCTGATAGTTAGACCATCGGAGGCAAAGTCGCTTGCAATAGTGCAGATCATGTCCGAACCAATATCAGCCTTTGCTGACTTTTTGGGCGACTGCCTAGGGTCCATCTTCAAGGTTACCTTGGACTTGAGAATATAGGATTTCAGCACTCCTTTGTCAGCCAATCTATCAAACAACTACTTTAGGCTATAGCAGTCGTTGGTGTCATGGTCGATATCCTCATGGAAGTGACAATACTTGTCCTTGTTCCGGTTTTTGGTCGAACCTTTCATCGCCGAGGGCTTCTCAAGCACCACCCGGTCTTTGATTTCCATGAGGATGGTGTAGCAGTCTTTGTTAAAATCATAACTGGGAACTTAAGGCTTAACCTCTTTCTATTTCTTTTTGGACGGTTGACTGGAGTCGTCGACCGCCCATATGTTTTTTCTCTTTTTATTCTCTTTATTTTTCTGAGTCGGCTGATCTTACCGACTCCCTTTTTTTCAGTCAGACCTCTTTGAGTTCGACTGCTTGCTATAGGATCATAGCTCAGTCGCCTGTACACAGACTTCTGCCTCCTTCAGAGCTTCCTGAAGAGTGAAGATTCTCTTCCGGACGAGGTCAAACTTGAATTGTGACCCATCCTTCAGATTTTTAAAAAAGTCTGTGAAAGCAACTATGCTAGACAGTCCTTGGATGTGGATTCTCACCAGATTGAACCGCCTGACATAAAAACGGAGCCCCTCCCTATCTCCCTGAACAACCGTGCCCAAGTCGATGCTTATCTTCTTGGCAGGTATGTTCATGGAAAAGTTAGAGGCAAACAGGAACGCAAGCATCCTGAAATTGTTTATGCACTCAGGCGGCAGGTTGTCGAACTACTGTTGGGCAATGCCCTTCAGTGTAGCTGGGAAGCATCTACACCATGAGGCATCATCCAACCCCTGTAGATACATGAGGTTGGTGTAGGCCATCGGGTGATCTTCTGGGTTGGTGGTGCCATCATAAGCAACAACCAAGACATTCTTAACCTTGGCCGACTGTACCTGTAATACCCCAATTTTTTTTTATATTGAACCAACGATTTTTCTAGTATAAAGTTTTAAATTTATAATTATTTTTTTCAAATTTATATATTATTGTAAAAATTTAATAATTATTATTTTTATTTTCGGATTTATTAAAACAAAATAAATAAATAAAATTGATTTTTTTGGATAAATTCCAGAAACTGATTTCAGCATGAAATTCAATCACATTTCATTTGAAAGCTAATTTTATCAAAAAAATTTGAATTTTAATCTTATCATAGTTAGTTACTTAAATCTATCTTAAACCTCAATCTCACCCAAATTTTCACATTATAAATTGGTTGATCGTGAGAAAGGGGGAGCACAAAAAAACTACTCTTCTTCTTCCACCCTTCATCTCCATTAATTGACAGGTATGGGAGCTCAATTAACTCATAATCCCTTCTTTATTTAGATGACTTTAACTAGTCAATTAAGCTTCAATTTTAACACTTGCAATCTTTAAATAACACTTTCATTGCTAAACCCGTAACCCCGTCGACGAACCCGACGTTTTGGCACTCAAATTGAATCTTTTTCTTGTATCCATCTTAGACCACCATAGCTTCAACCCTTACCGTCAACACCGTTGCCGTATTAGCACACCCTCTTCTGAAATTGTCTAAGATATTGTATGAGTAATTGACAAACTGGAAGTCTTCTTTTTTGGAAAATAAATGGTTGTTTTCTTTCCTGCCAAAGAAGACACATTGAAGTACTTTTTTTTTTGGAGCTTTGTTTTGGAGTTGGTGCGTAGGTTGCAGGTAAATGTGTGTTGACAAGCCTTTTTAATTAGATACTCGTAATTAGAGTATACTTATCCGGTTATAGGGAGTAGTGGTAGTGGAGTAGTGCATACTATACTTCTAAATTTATAGTCATAGTTGAAATTAAACTTTTATTCTTTTTCCTCCAAATTTTCTTATCAATACAATACATTAGAAGTAGTTGCTTAATTACCCGCGTACTAGTGTACTACTACTAACTTCGTATTAGCTATATGAGTCATACTAACTTAGTATTATTGTCTGCTTATTTGTAGACGAAGGCTGCTAGGTGAACGTTTCGGAGGTTACTTACCTTGAGATTTACGCGCAATTCAAGGTAATTTATAATGTCCATCATCTTTAGAATCCCATTAGGAAATTATTTTAAATTATTGTGTGCCAACTATGTGCTTACGTAATTATATGTGATGAGTGTGTTACCGTATGATATTATGGAATTATATTTTATACTAGTTTTCTATATTTTGTGTACTAGTAAAAGTATTTTCGAAAATTTGATTAATTGGTATTGTATGAGTTTTTAATATAATTAAAAACTTGGGAATTGAATTATTGATTGTACTGGATTGATGGTCTCCAAGGCCTATTGGGAAACAAGTCGTAACTAGTGTATCATGTAGAATGGCTATGTTCTAATAATACTAAAATTGAAACATGGTTACTTGGGATTAAATTGATTTGTGCAATACTCGTGTGCAATGTGATCGGACAATTTAATCTATTAAAATGTACATTAAATTAAGAAGGGAAATGAAACCCGAAAGGGTGAAGAACAGGTTCCCACTAGTAGTTATGGTTGCTATTAGTTGGTTTAAATTAACGTATATTGATGTTTAGTCTTCCTCCTAATCAATGGGTATTAGTGAGGGGTGTGCACACTAGGGACATTCTGTTTAATTTATGGCCATTTGGGGTTACGCGCGACCCCTGTAAAGTAGGTGGTGACAGGGACTAGTCCCGGCTTACTGGCGTTCTCTTTCCTTTTCTTAACTAAAGTAATAAATTTTATGTGACAACTTGATTTTGACTTATTATTATAATGTCGATGAAATTGTATTGTGTAAATATTTTTCGAACAAAAATTATTTATTTTACGGGATGGAGTTGGAATTACTCAGTTTATCTGATTTTGGGAGTTTTCTCTCTTTTCTTGTTTCTGATTTATTTTGCAGGTTGGTAAGAGGGTACTCGGTTACGTGTGAGGAGACGTTAGAATAATCATGTAGCTAAGACAATTTAGTTTAATTCCGAACTTATTTATTTTCCTTTTTAATTAGTGTTTTTTAAAATGTTTTATAGTTTGGATGTAACGACTATTTTATTTTTTGCTGTCACTCGGATCACTTAGTTTATAAAATGGTATTTCGTTTTGCTTTGCATTTGTTTTCTATAGAAGATAAGTGTAGCTGTAACACTCCCAAGGTTCGACGGTTGGTTTGAAAGGTAAAAAGGTTACTCTTATCGTTTTACAAAGACTTGAATTTTGGGGGTGTTACAGTGCCACCTCGGTTATCTCCTTGGAGAACGCAGAGGGTTGTTCTCCAAGTTTGAGCAGACGTAGCTGCTAGTCCAGGGGTTGGACTTGATATGTTGCCTGACCTCCAGATAGGGCAGGTTGCTTATAAGGTTAGGCAAACGACGTTGAAGCCGAGTCAAATAGTTGCCTCTGAAGCTGTCTGGCATTGTCGGCGTTGAAGCCGAGTCAAATAGTTACCTGTTTCACTTGTGCTCGATGAAATGTCGTGCATCAGCGTAAGCCTTTTTGCTGCCATCCGGCTGCAAATGTCGGATGGGCTTTCTCTAGTTTCCCTTGGGAGATGGAGTTTACTCCAGTCAATTAGGGATCGATCCCCCTCTTTATGCTTAGGATGTGGAGTGGGCCACCTGTTCTTGACGGGCTTTGCCTTCCCAGAGTGAGAAGGTTTCTTGGCTGACTGTCCTTTGCTAGGACCATCCATGTGGGTCTTGATGAGGTCTTTCATCTTACCTTTGAAGTTCATCATAAACTTGACAAACTCCTCATGAGTGTTGTGAGCAGTCTGTACTGTAGTCTGAGGGTGGCGGACTGTCTTGCTCGGACCCGCCTGGTTATCGCCCCGCTTCCTGTTATCTTTTTGGTGGATGCGCTTAGAGATGAGGGATCCATCATTGGTCGTGTGAATTTCGATCTCAGGATCCGAATATGTATCTTGGTTCGAATGGACCTCTGCGGCTCTACTGACAGATGCTTTTCCTCAAGAGGCGGTACAATCTCTTGAGAAACCATCTTAGAGGTACTCTCCCCACAGACAGCGCCAAATATTTTGGGGTTTTTTGCGAGATGTCCTACGGGAGAGTTACGTCACCAAGACTGGCTCCTCGTTCGTCTGAACCTGCAACAAACGGAAACTCCGGTTGTTCGGAGTTCCGCCTCCAAAGATTAGGTTAGTACGTGTTTGGAGAGTAAAACGCGAAAAGTAAGTAAATCTTCTCGGATCCCGAGATCAGGTGAATTTTCTGTTGTAAGAGAATAGTAAATGATGTAATAAATGAACGTGCCCCCAAAATGGGGTAAATGTCCCTATTTATAGGGCATTGGGAATAGTGCCCTTACGTAGGTCACTCAAACCTAGATTTGGTGGGCTACGCCGTTTTACGGCGCCTCGGAAATGGGCCTTAAAGACCGCCATTTCCTTTACTATCAGCATGCCACATGTCATGTCCTGGTAAGTACATTTTGGACTCTTCCTAGGGTGACACATGTCACACTCTAATTGGTCCACGTGGCTGGGGTAAAAATACCCAAATCAAAAGTAATTTAGATTTTAAAAGTGGACGACTCATGTTTAAAAATGTCTTTCTACACAGATTATGGTGTTAAAGGATCATCTTAACTAAAAGGTTAAACTTATGGTTGAGGCTAGAGAATATGTTTTATATTCTATCACGCTCCTCCACATGATAGCCCAGCAACATGGGCCCTCTGCATACTCTGTATGAAATATTCCACTTGAAAGTGGGGAGTGGATGAGATTTGAACCCGTAACCTTTGTGTCACGCTAGCTCCGGTACCATGTTAGAGGACCATCTCAACCAAGAGTTTAAGCTTATGATTGAGACCCACATATATGTTTTATACTCTATCATATGAGCATGAATTTCAGCTAATCCGACATGTTTTTTTACGTATCTGTAAATTAATATGTATCGGACACATGTCATGTTCATGTTTCCTATTCCATTTGGTTACATTTATCAAAGATAGGAAATAGTATCGATTGACTCGTATGTAAGATTGTAAGTCGTTGGTCTTGTTGGTTAGTCAAGTCAAGTCATTGGCATGCATTACGCACTTAATGTAAGGCAATGGCTGTCCTGAAAATGATTGGATGAGGTATTGCTAGATGCTATTGGCAAGAAGTGTACTCCAATGAGGTATTTATGCTCATGCACTTGGTAATCTAGGGTACTTCCTTGAAATTTTTGACTTTGAGGAATTTAATTCTATGTCATTCTATGTCCTAGCATATAAAATATTCCAACTAACTTATCTAGTTAAGAGTATCTTTGTAATCCATTTTCATACTATTGATTGGCCTTGATAAAAAAAAAAAAAAAACAACTTTTTATTTTTTTTTTATTGTTTTTTTTTTTTTTTGTATAATGGAATATTGTAGATGTTTGATGCTAAAGTTATACAACTGTACTATAATAACATTAAAGATTTGGTCTCCTAATCTTAAAGAATGTCCATTAGTTACTCCTTATATATGTCATTTACTATTTCCCTCGTTTGCTTTTTAAGGGAAACTTTGACCATTTATTTTCATTAATCTACTTTATATATAGAAGTAAAAAAATCATTTAAATGCTTAAACGTGTTCTTGAAACCCGTAAAAAATAAATATGATAAACATTATATTAAGGGACAAAGGGAGTATATGCGATGTATGCATAGGTCTCATTACCTTAACTAGATTTAGAGTTATGGGGGGTGATTGGGTGAAAGGGCTATATCGAAGGTTGTGACCCGGGTTATTAAATTGTTCCACCAATTTAGGAAAATAGAATTGGAACAGTAAATTTTCATGCAAGAGATAACAAATTATTAGCCATCTTTGGGGGTTTTGTCAATAAAACTTTGTTCGATGCTAATGGTTATATGATGACTAATGAGATTAGAGTAAACTTATTGTGAATGTGGGTGCTATAAAATACATGAATGAGCCAGAAAAAACGTATTTTTAAAGTGAAATCTATATATAATTCTGAAATTTTGATTAAGGGTTTGGAAGAAAAATTATTAAAAAAAAAAATGCGGTGAGCGTGGATCGAACACGCGACCTTCAGATCTTCAGTCTGACGCTCTCCCAACTGAGCTATCCCCGCTTGTATGATAAGTCATTGAACTATCAATATAAGGATGGTTACATGGCTGGAAAGTCTACTTTTTTTTTTTGAAATCAATTATATCAATGCCGATCCTTGCATTTCCCATTTCCTTTCACAATTATAAAAATAAAGAAATTTAATAGTGAAGTAATTAATTCTTTTAGAAATGCCATTTTCGTACAAAAACCACATTTTCTATGGAAAAAAACCTAATGCTAAATGCCGTATGAACAAGGTCGTATAGCACTTGTAATGATACTGTAATAAATATTTTGTACTCTGTATTAATTGCACTTCACGCCTAAGAAAAAGTTGCAAAAAGAAAAGGCTCAAACTTAGTTTCAACAAGTTTATACTCGAGCTATCGATATCCAATATACAACTAATACTATTTGGATACGAGAGAAAATGAGTACATTGAATAAATGATTTGCTCATATAAAATAGATATTTTTTTCCGTTATTTTTTTATTGCAATATGGGGATTTTATGCTTGCAAATGCACTATTTATGTCATTAATATCTTTGTTTAATTTTAAGTAAAAAGTACAAAGATTTGATTTTTTGAAGTATGAATTGAGATAATCTAACCAGATCTCACATGACTATAATTTCCCAATGAATAAATCACAAAAGACGGTCAACCTTGCAAGTGTGAATAGTGCAAAATATCAATTGTTGCAGTAAAAAAGAGCAAAGGAAGTAGAAGGAAGATTGTCCAAGTTTTTTTTTTAATTTTTTTTAATTATTATTAATTTATTATACATGGTAATAATTGTCTAAGTTATATGGAGCAATAATTATTCAAGAAATACCACTGTGATATTTCATTTAGAAGATTTGGTGAGAAATAAGAACTAGTCCGTATTTACTAATTCTCAAATAAAGGGGACATTTCGCAGTATATGAGTCTACTCATGTACTTACACATCCCCATGTATACTACTATGTGCACTAGGCCTGTTCACGGATCGGATCCAAAATGTAATTTCGGATCGGATATCCGAATCAGAAATTGATATTCAAATCCGATCCGAAAATTTCGGATATCCAAAATTTTCGGATCAGATGCTTCGGATATCCATTATCCAATATTAAGTAAAATTGATTATGATTACTTTCTAAATTTCACTAATTTTGCCGCTTTTTTATCGCTAAGTTGTACAACATATTTTAATAAAATAGTAGTCATTTTACAATAAATATTATCATCAAATATATTAACAATATTATAATAAGTTGATTATACTGGGTCAGTTTTATATGAACAATTTAAAAAATTTATATATATTTCACTATTTCAGCCTTTATATTTTAGATATCAGATATCCGAAATTTTGAAAATCAATGTCCAAATCCGCATCCGATATCCGCTTTTTCGGATCGAATATTCGATCCAAAATGAAATGAAAACTGGGATCGAATATCCAAAAATTCGAATTGGTTGCGGATCGGATTATCAAATCTTCGGATTCTCAGATAGTTTTGTACATGCCTAAGGTGCACTGCACAGCACATACAAACATTTAACTACCTGATAAAAGAAATTACAGGCACTCACAACTCCCTATATTTGTTCAAAAAGTGAGATCAGTAATGAAGAATTACTGTAAACATCGACTATATACAAAACTTCCACTTCACATCAGTAGTCTTCATCTAAGATGGACTCGAGTATCCAGTGACCTGATGCCATCATTCATCCTACTGATCCTCCCCTGTCAATGACATCACGAGAAACAAACATCATCAGACTTGCATGGTTAAAATTAGTTAGTGTATGCTTTAGATCATTTCTAAAACTACATGGTGTATGATACTTTGCTACAGTGATCAACAAACAATTCTCTATACACGTGTTTGGATGGAGAGTTTGACGGGAAGGAAATTGGAAGGATCAGGTAAAGGGAAGCCAAAGAGAATTGGAGATATTCAATCATCTTCCTCCTTTCAATGAGCCACATCTTTGCATTACTCAAGGTGTCCGTCCTACATCCTCGTATAAATTACACCCTTACTAGTCTCACCTTCCTCCCCCCCCCCTCCCCACTCCTCCTACCAGGCTACCATTCTCTCCATAATTACTAACCAACCGTACTGTAAAAGAAATAAGAAAGGTTAACTTTTGACTCAGGTTGGATGAAATGATTTCACATTACTAATTTATAACAATTCATTGATAACATTCATGATAGTGAACAGCAAATATTTCAGATTACTTTTGAACGAATTGATGTCACTCCAAATTCAGTTTTTGACTTCAATTTGGGTTACCTTAAGATCTGAAACTCTTACAACAGGCTTGTTATCTTTGCCACCAGATCTTAGACTCAAAACTGCTTTTCCTCTCATGTTCTCCTTTCCACTGCTCACAGCTTTATCAAACCGGCTGCTCTGTACTTTAGCCTTAACACCTTGGGCTACATTTCTTGACCGATTCAAAGAATTTTTTTGAGTTGTTTGAAGTACAACCTGTTTAAAATTATATATTAGCTTCAGTTCAGCAAAAGAAATTCATACCATATGACAAGTGACCTATTTCCTTCCATTGAACTAAGCAGAATGGAAAATTTACAGTCATTTCTTCTGAACTCTGAACTCGAGTTCAGCAGATATCTCACCTTTGACTTAGAAGCTGCCAGGCTTCTAGATGTAGCAGCAGCATCTTTACCCTTCATCCTGGAGCTGTCATCTTTACCCTTCATCTTAGAACTGTCATCTTTACCCTCCATCTTGGAGCTGTAATCTTTACCCTTCATCTTGGAGCTGTAAGTACTCCTTGTACAAACAGATATCTCATTTATGTTTTTAGCTTTTACCCTCTCATGGACAGGTTTTGCCAATTTCCCCAGGTCTCGAACGTTCGGATTTTTATCTTTGTTCTGTTTGTAACCAGCTGGCGTTTTCTTAACCTCAAACTTTGAATTTGAAAGCCTTTGGTTGGGCCTCCCATATGAAGTCTTCTGACCTTTTGATCCTATATTTATATTCATCTCTACTTTCACTTGCTTGCTGCAATCAGTTCTAGGAACTACTGCCAATCCCTTACCTTTTGTATCATATCCAGTGCTAGAAGAGCCCACACTAGACTTGCCAGCAGAAGATTTATGACCATTAAAGTCTCTATCCTCACATATCTCAACCCTTGATGCTGGTCTTGTGGCACGACTTTTTCTCAGATTGTTTCTTAAAGCATTCAGCAGACCACCAGTGTGACCAAATGCCTCTTTTGACACCTCAAAAGCCTTTGAATCTCGTTGCATACTTACATTTGTTATGGTGCTTGTTGATACTCCACTTGTACTAGCTGACTGAGGATTCAGAGCAACTCTTCTCTCTGAATAATTCACCACACTGGTTATTGAGCTAGAAGCCTCACTTTGATGTTCATGGCTCACTTTGGGTATACTGTCCTGACTTGACATGATATTAGTTACTGAAACCCTACCACCCAAATCATTTACAGGATGTTCTTTATTGACTGAAATCTGACGACAATTGCTTATGCAGTCTTTACTTCTATAGTCTTTGCCTCTTGATTTTGAAACGGATGATGGAAATTTTGGAGAGCATAAGTTGAAGAGATCATTCCCCACATCTGGATGTGCAAATGCAGATCTCAAATGGCGTGCAGAATGATGATGGAACCTAACAAGTAACAACCAAGACAAACCCATAAACAAAATGCCTATCTGAATGGTTAAGTTTAAAGAAGTTATATAAGGCGAGTGCAAGTGTACTTACGGGTGGCTCGTGTGAAACCATTCATCATCACTGCAAAAGGCCAGGGAAATTACTTAGAAGCTGATATCAAATGGTACAAGTATGCAACTCAGTAGTCACTCCATCCCAACAAAATTGCCATAGTTAATTATTTGCCGAATTGCAGTCTCTAAGATGCAGCTTCAACTTTGACTATTATTCTTTTCATATTACTTAATTTTTACTTTCTCTATCTAAACATACATAGAACAAACCTTTCACTTAATTACTTTAGGTAGAAGCTTTCCAAACTCTCAATTTCAAAAATTACAACGATTTTCTGGTATAGATGACTTCTTGTTGAGTTATCGTCATAGACTCATAGCTTTCCAAACTCTCAGATCAATTTCATATAAGACAAGAAATCTATGACGATTTTCTGGTATAGTTGGGATACACGGACTAAAACATCAACAAATCTGAATCAGAAGAAACTCACTTGTCTTCTGATATCAGCGTTGTCTCCAACGTAAGATCAGCCCACATGGGTGCCTCAAATTCTTCCTGTGATCATACATACACAACAAAGTTGAGGTATTACAACCCAAGAACTCAAACCCCACTTTATAAAACCTAATCTTCGCAACATATACAAGCAGGAAGGTAGGATCACATTATTCACATGATAGTCATAGTTGGATGGAGTCCAATATGCTCACTCAATATTCCTTGTACATCATTCACTCTACATTTCATACATATCAATCAGCATATGAGCTTCACAGCACAGAATCTACTAGCATACATAGCAGTATGTACAAGCATAAAATTTGGAAGTACACACCCATTTCTTTGTTCGTTATAATTTTCAGTATAAAGCATTTCAGTAGACCCAAACAACAATATAATAACATCACTAAGTCAAACATAAGATTCTCAAATCTCAATAGCACCTCTCAATCTAAATTAGATATGATTTTGATTTTTTAAAGTTTGACTAGAGCAAAGCAGTGTTTACAAGTCTAAAACACACTCATATACTGTCGAATCCGAAATCGTTGAATATGTCGACTAGCTTAGTTGGTAAAGTTCTTAACGATCATGCCCGAAAACTCAAAACCCATGTCCAAAACCCGTTTTCTTATACTTTGTGCCTCATTTGGAACCCAATAGCATAATACACAGGTATTCAATCACCCAAAAGTCTCAAAAAATAAGGGTATATTGAATTAAACCCCAAATTTTGCCCATTTTAAGGTACATTGAAAAATACCCCCAATAACAAGAAATCCAATCAAATGTAAAAACAGAAAAAACCCAATAACTGCGATAATAATAAATTGACATTAATAGAAATTATGCAACTTTTCTTAAAAAAATTATGCAACTTAAAATGATACATTCATATATTCTACAATAAACCCTTTTAAAAAAATAACAAATTATAAACGTAAATAAATTTGTGATTATTGGGTTTTTCGCAGGAGCAAATGGAATTACCAGAAAAGCCCAGTGATCGACATCTGCAATGCTTCTTCTCTTGGAAGCTCCGACACCATTTTCATCATTTTCTTTAACCTTGATCCTACTCTGAACCATCATTTCTTTAATTTTGTCAAAAAATCAGCAAAAACCCAGAAATTTTTTCATCTAATAAGAATCAAAAAGTTCAGCAAAATCCAATTAGTACTTTGGATTACTCATATTTTCGAATTGAGTCGGAGTGAAGTTGAATCGAGGACGAAGTAATGGAGGAAGAACGGAGGAAGTTGAATTGGGGAGATAGAGGGTCAAAGAAGAGGAGGATATGAACCGCGCAGTGTAAACTTGATTGTACACGTGTAGGGTGAGGATGCTTTGATATTTGCTCGACCGTTGGACAATCAATGAAATTCGAGGAGGGAAAAGTAGCTTCCTTAAGAAGCCAATTGATGCCAATTGATAAAACTCTTGTGACTTTGTGAGGGTGTTTGGTTTCACATGGAGTAGGTTCGAAGAGAAAATACAATTTATTATCCTATACGAAGCATTAACAAAAGTTGTTCATCATAGGGTATGAACGTCATTTTAGCGAGTTATTTAAGGATAGTGTTTTAAAATTACCAATCTTAGATCTTCAACCTTCAACAATGGAGGACGATTGTATGCATATCCGTCGCCATAATCTTCGCCTTTATCACGAGTTCACGACGAACCACCGAAAACGAAGTGATCTTACCTTCCTCAACTGTAAATTGAGCAATTTCATCAAAGATCGACCCCCATAAAGCTTAATTCAAGCTCGATGTTTGTCAAATTAAATCCCACGATCCTCCATTGTTAATGCCCAAGTACTATTGAAAAGTATATACCATTTTGGGTTAACCATTCCCTTAATTTATAATTCTTTCTTAGGGTTATCTTTAAATTTGGTGGTGAAGCCACCGTCATGCCGATGTTCATGGAAGAAGAGAGTTGATGGCGTTCATGGAGGAAGAAGAAGCAAGTGTGGTGATGGTGGTGTGCCATTATGTTTGTGCTTAGACGAAAAAAGGAGAAATATATATATATATATATATTTTTTTTTTAATTGTTGGTATCAACATAACTTATTGATATAGGATATTAACTGGGTCTGGCTCGTTTCGAAATGAAATGTGCATATGGCTCCATACTATGTTATATGACCTGAGATGCATCCAATACAATCACACCTATGACTGAATTAATGTGAAATTTTTCGTATTATTAACATACTCATTGTTCATAATTTCACCGAGTAATTGGGCTACCAGCTTATAATTAGTTAAATATTAGTACCCTATGTAAAGATTATGCTTCATATTGTCTTATGCATATTATTAAGTACATGCATCACCAATTTAATCGAGGACGCTCATAGCAGATGCTCAACCACGAACCTGCAGGAAAACCTTCATCATGAAATATACCAAATAGTTTTATTAACAGCAATGAAGTACAGAAAAAACGGCAAACAAATTCATAGCAAAACTTCCAAATTTTACTATACATTGGCCAATTGGAAAACTGCCAATTACGGAAAATTCACTATAAGATGACCATATTTTGGTCCCTATAATATTGCTGAATTTCCAAACATTTTCTCAAAGTAGCGCTAGAAACAGCTCCTTATAGCCTTATAGGAAGTGAATTCAATGCCAATTTGGTGAGGACTAAAAGACTGCATCAACTCATCGTCTTAAAGCTCCATAATTTCTTGAAACCTGAATAAACAACACTAAAAATGAGGTCTAAAACATATTTTAAGTGGTCTAAGACCCTTTTGGTTCTTTAAAGTGAGGGCAAAAGCCATCAAAATCTTCACTACTATATAAATCTAGCTCAAGGGCAAGGGCCTTTTGACATGCAAGAAATTTCATGCTCAGATACAGCAGGAAAGCAAAAGTAGAAAGGCACACTGAAAAGAACTTTAAGAAATTTTGTTCAGATGCTCAGATTAGAGCAATGAAAAAAACCAAAGTCAGATTAATCAATCATACAACATTCTGACCTTGGGTTGAGACTTGTTAAATCGATTGGGTATGTCATCGTCATCATCTTTGCCCATAAGCATCTTTTGAAGCGAAGAGCTCCCTGATTGTTTTCCCCTCTTTGAGGGCTGTGTAGAACCTCTACCCCCTCCTCTTGGTGCAGCTCGTTTGCGACCTTTTCCTTGAAGTTTTTCATCATCGCCCTAGCAAGTAAAACAATGGTTCTATTTACATAAAGACTTTGCAAAGCATCTACCCCATTGGCAAACCAAGGGGGAAGAAGTGTACACAGCTTTGCATCCTACCCCTGTAGCAGCAGAAGGGCCTGTATACATTACCCTCACCATGTTCTATGATTGTCACTGTTATACTAACTTTGTTTTTCCTAATAAAATTATGTTTAGTTTCTTTCCTTCAGAAATTATATAATAAAATAATTACCATGCTTCAAATTCCCCCTCAAAAATTAGTTACAAGTTATCATGCATACAAAGAGGAGATCACATACCGAACTGTCAGCAACCTCCTGAACTACGTACTCCTCTGCTTCATCACTCAAGGCAGAATCAACATTATCATCATCACCAGCAATATTATGAACTGAGGCTGAAGCAGCAACTGATGAAGATCTGCAGTTTAGAGAGCTATAATAAGAAATCACCAAATCTACAAGTAAAGAATGTAATTGAGTAGACAACATCTACACTACTATCTACTTTGTTATTTTTTTTTATTATTAAATGCAATAATTTGACTTCTGCACTATTCATATACTACACTTTTATTAGCTATGATGATTTATATTTAAGGAAAAGTATAGTCGTGGGATATGTTAGATTCGTCTCAATTTACACTTTCATAATGTTAAAATTTTAAAATATTCATATTGGTAATTAAAGATGTTGGTGATTGAAATAATGCATTGACAAGCGTGAAATGAAAAGTAATAAATAAAAAATAGGAAAAATTACTTTAAATAATCCAACCTTTGCCCCGTTCTCCTAAAATAAATCAACCTTTGGATTATTCCAGAATAATCCAACCTTTATACCCCTTCTTCCCATATCACACCTTGCAGGTCACCTATATGTGGCACTTCCTAATTGGTTTTTTTGTTTTTTTATAATTTACTATATTAAAATTAAAAAAAATAAATAAATAAATAAATAAAAAAAAACCACCCTTCTTTCTTCTTTCTCTCTCTTCCCCCATCACCAGATTCACCACCATAGCCACCACCATCCTTCTTTCTCTCTCCTTTCCTTCCATAACCTTCCTCCATTACCACTTCACCTCCCCTTTAACTTAACCAACAACAACACCTCCTCTAGCCAGCATAAACCTACAGCCACCACCACCAACACACACACCACCACCACCACCAACGTACCCAGGAGAGAGAAAAATAAAGAATAGGAAAAGAGGACAACACACAAAGAAAATTCAAGAGAGAGAAAGTGAAGACTTAGAGAAAGAAGAAGAGGAAACGAAAGGTAAAGGAAAGCAAAGATCTTTCGATTTTTTTTATTTTTGGAAGATCTAAAGAAGAAAAAGAAATCGATTTAGCCGGAGTTGTTGATTTCGTTGGAGGAATTTCCGCCATTTTTACAGGCGAAATGCGTAGGTGGCTAAAGGTTTTGGGTAGGGGGCTGATTTTGTATGGGTGAGTGGTTACTTCGATGGTGTGGCGGTGGGTATTGGGTGGGGAGAGGGCTGATTTTGTGAGGGTCAGGGTTGTTTTGGGGGTGGGGGTTGTTTACAGGTGAGTAATGGGTTGTTTTGGGAGTTGGGTTTGGGGGGCTGATTTAATTTCATGAGGGTGGGTTTGTTAACAGGTGGGTGAGAGGTTGTTTTGGGGTGGAGGGGGGTTGAAGTCAGCTGGCTGAGGTGCGGTAGGTGGTGGCTGTTTTGGTGCTAGTGGTGGCCAAAGGTGTAGTGCTGGTTGTTTTTGGTGTAAGGTGGTCAAGGGTGGTGAACGGAGGTGGAGCTTTGGGTGGTGGTAATGGAGGAAGATGATGGCAAATGGTAAGAGGAAGGAGAGGGAAAGGGATGACCGGTTGTTTAAGTAACCGGTCATTTGGGTTCATTTTGGGAAGAAGGGGTATAAAGGTTGGATTATTCAGGAATAATCCAAAGGTTGGTTTATTTTGGGAGAATGGGGCAAAGGTTGGATTATTTAAAGTACTTTTTCCTAAAAAATAAAGAGGAAGTAAATTGCTGACAAAATATTGACGACTTGAATTTTACCTTAAGACGAACAGCATGTCCTACTTTTTCTCTCCCTCTCAATCCCAAATATTTCATTACTTTTATCTATAATCTACATGGAATCAGCAACTTCATTGAACTGCAACAAATGCTTGCATAATCCCCACACCTTTTGTCTACATATAAATTTCCAGTCAAGAAAGAAGTAAAGGAATATACGAAATGAGATTCTTGATATACACTAATGGAGCTAACTGGGTCATCCAACCTTGAGGATGCGCACACACACACACACACCTACCCAAAAAAGAATTTGAAAACATAGATTCTCACACAGCAAAACAACTACGTGGGAAGTATGATTAATACGTCATCCAAACCAACATACTATTTGCCTTGGGGGAAGGGGTTAAATTATTTAGGAGCTCCCCATCAAAAATCCAACCATTCTGGGTTAAATATGCAACTTTTGTGTACAATCATGTGAACATACAGAGTATAGGTAGAAGAGACACAAGGAAATGATACAGAAGTAGGCATGAAAAAATCAAACCTTTGAGAACGGCGAAAACCCAACGATGCATCAAGAGTTGTCTGCTTCATATTGGTGGCATCTTTTCCTCTCCCCCTTCCTCTTCCCCTTCCCCTTCCTCTCGTAGAGATTTTACCAGTTTCAGCAGCATCATGGGAGGAGCCAAGGGCTTTAGTTGTTGCTTTCTTGCCTCGAGCAGTAGATTTCAACCCAGAAAGTTGGGTGGCATCATCATCACTAAAAGATGCTGCACTTTTTGTTCCTGCCATGCGCTTACCCCGGAACTCCTACAAAAAGAACAAAAAATGCATCATCAACAACCTATAAGATTCATCACAACCACACAAATCCTGTGCCTGCTATTCATCAAATCCAAATACTATCCAAAAACAAGTTCCGTGCTCTAGCTAGATGAGAGCATCATAACAAAAATTGAGTCCCTTGCATTATCAGAAGACATCGAGGCAAAGTGGTATAGTTGAGCAGTCATTCCGTCAATCTTAAGTCTGACTGATTTTAGTTCTAAATAAATGATGCTCTTCTTTTGTTCAACAGATACATAATCCGTTCATCTAATGTGTAGCAGAATTCCAGAAATTCATTCAAGAAAAGGTTTCAGGAATAATACGAACATATAGCATCAATAACAAAGAGAGATGACTTTAGAAAGAGAACAAACCTCTGATGGAGCACTGAAGGAAAAAGTCTCCTTCGGGTGTGTTGCCCTATGTTTAACACGTTCCTTAAAAGAATAAACAAAAGAATAATTAGACTCAA